GAAGATTGGCTCTGGGCTAACATCCGTGCCCACCTTCCTCTACTTTATATGGGATGCTGCCATAGCATGGCTTGACAAACGGTGCGTTGGTGTGCGCCCGGGATCTGAACCCGCGACCCCCAGGCCCTGAACCCGGGGCCCTGAAGCAGAACGCATGCACTTAACCGCTATGCCACCAGGTCCCCCCACATCTCCACTTCTTCATGCCTGGCTTTGCCCCTCTAACCAGCCGGTGAAGCCAGCAGTATCCAGCCCTCACTGTGCCCGAACTCACCCAGCAGGTCTTCGATGCCAAGAACATGATGGCTGCCTGTGACCCCGCCACGGCCGGTACCGCACCGTGGCTGCTGTCTTCTATGGGCAGATGTCCATGAAGGAGGTAGGTGAGCAGATGCTCAACGTGCGAAACAAGAATAGCAGCTGCTTTGTGGAATGGATCCCCAACAACGTCAAGACGGCTGTCTGCGACATCCTGCCCCATGGCCTGAAGATGGCTGTCACCTTCACTGGCAACAGCACGGCCATCCAGGAGCTCTTCAAGCACATCTCAGAGCAGTTCACCACCATGTTCTGCCGGAAGGCCTTCCTCCACTGGTGCACAGGTGAGGGCATGGACAAGATGGAGTTCACCGAACGACCTCGTCTCCGAGTACCAGCAGTACCAGGATGCCACTGCAGAAGAAGAGAAGGATTTCGGTGAGGAAGTCGAAGAGGAGGCCTAAGGCAGAGCCCCATCACCTCAGGCTCCTCAGTTCCCTCAGCCGTCTTCCTTAACTGTCCCTTTCCTCTCCCTCAGAATTTGCGTTTTTCTGCCTCTATCTTGTTTTTCCTTTGGCAGGGGTGGTTCTAGAACAGTGCCTGGCACATAACAGGTGCTCAATAAATATTTGTTGTTTGTTGGAAAAACAAAAACAACTGAATGGCCCCAGAGAAAGCCTACCACCTATCAACATTTGGGAGTGCCCATGAAAAGGCTTCCACTGTCCCACAGCAAAGCAGACAGATGAGTGCCCCTCGCCACCCCCAGCTTCTAATCATCCTCTTGGTAGGTCCCTATTAAATATGAACAGAGCGCCAAGGCCCTGCAGACATTTGAGGAAAGCCTCCAAAATGAAAGAGAAGGAGTCCCCATGTATTTTTTTAAAAAGCCAATCAAATCTGGAAGAGACAGAAATACTAGGGAGCACAAGAAAAAACACACAAACCTATAATTGAAATGTAGGAAAAAAAGGAAGGGGCAACTCAATGCATATAGTCTGTTAGCACTTTCATTTTAAAAAAGGAAAAGAGGGGCTGGCCCGGTGGCATAGCGGTTGGGTTCGTGTGCTCCGCTTTGGCGGGCTGGGGTTCCATTGGGATCCTGGGTGCAGACCTACATGGGGCTCATCAGGCCATGCTGAGGAGGCGTCCCACATAGAGCAACTAGAAGGATGTGCAGCTATGACAGACAACTATCTTCTGGGGCTTTGGGGAAAACAAAGGAAAAAAGGAATATTGGCAACAGATGTTAGCTCAGGGCCAATCTTCCTCAAAAAAAAAAAAAAAAGAAAGAAAGAAGTATCTGTCTCTGCACCAACCATTCTGGAAGATTTCCGAGACAAGCCAGCAGCTGTGTCAGGTAGGGGTCCTGGGCAGCTCGGAACAAGGGCTCACGGTACACTGTTTTCTTACCTTTTGAATTTTGATGGCGCTACCTATTAGCTAGTTTAACACCTAATATTGAATTTTTAAAATGTAATTTTTACCCTCAGAGAGATGAGAGAAGATACTGCATTTTGGAAATGAAAAAAAAAAAAAATAGATAAATATAACAAAAAACTTCCTTTTTCTCCAAAAGGATGATACACAAAACCTTCTAGAAAGTAAAACAAAAAGACAGATGAGTTGGGGGTGGCCAAGGGAACCTCAGCTTTACGTCTAATGTCTTAATATTTTTCGAGGAGAATGGAGTCACATTACTTGTGTAATTAAAAAACTGAACGCACGTGGCAATTTATGTAAAACATCAGGCACACAGTAGGTCCCTGGTAGTTTCCCTTCCCTCCAGGAGCCCAGGGCTGGCTGGCAGCCCCCTTGGGGCCTTCTGGACTGGAGGGGTCAGCCAGAGGTCAGAGGAGTTGAGCAGCTGATTGTGATGGTGGTAAGGCTAGCCCCTCGGTCCCCATTCCAGGCAGCATTCCCAAGGGCACGCTTCTTCTGCCCCTAATTAAAGGCTTTTGATTTACAAGCTTCATTGAGGGACACACAAGGTCTCTGAAATTAATTACTAGCTTGGTCAGGTTTGACTCATATGGATGGAGCAAGTTCATGAGTCAGTGTGGGAATGACCCAGCCCCCTTCCATCCCAACTTCTAAGTCAGTTGCTGTTAGAAGAGGAAAAAACAATAAAAGAAAACCTTTTAAAGGTTTTCTCCATGTTACCTACATCAGAATCACCAGAGGTGCTTGTTAGAAATGAACTTGGGGCCCAGCCCAGTGGCGCAAGTGGTTAAGTGCCCGCACTCCGCTGCGGCAGCCTGGGGTTTGCGGGTTCAGATCCCAGGCGCACACCGACGCACCACTTGTCAGGCCATGCTGTGGCAGGCATCCCATATAAAGTGGTGGAAGATGGGCATGGATGTTAGCCCAGGGCCAGTCTTTCTCAGCAAAAAGAGGAGGATTGGCAGATGTTAGCTCAGGGCTGATCTTCCTCCCCCCCCCAAAAAAAAAAAAGTGAACTTGGGCCCCCTCCCACATCCTTTGAATGAGCCTTGGGAGTGGTGCTCAGAGATTCGGCTGGCAACCCCCCAAGCAGGAAAATGTAGAAGCCACGGTCTCAGTTATGTAAATATATGACTTTATTTTTCTTTAGTTCAGCTTACCTCTATTTGGGTCTCCATTCTACTTGCTTGCAGAAAACACTCATTCATTTCCAGGTGAACTCGGTCATCCCATCCCACCCCTTCTCCTGCCTAAATTGACTGATCTAAATTGAAGGAGTTCTTGAGCACCACAGCACCAGTGGGGAGGCCAGAGAGGCTGCTCAGTGAGAACCCTCTCTCTGAGATAAATCCTGGGTCCCCGCCTCCATAGATCATAAACGTCCTCATTTCTACTCTGCTGCTGCTGCCCCCAGGATCCAATAGCAATGGCATTGTGCCAGCTTTCTAAGCCATACCCCATGGCCTTGGCTCCCCAGATTTATTCTAGGTTCTATCCTTTACATGTCCCCAGGACTTGGCCATCGGAGAAAATAAGGATCACTCCTAAACCAGTGTTTAACCTCTTGTCTGGTCCTTCACTAGCTTCTCCTCTGCTAGCGCAGGGTGTTGGGGCAGATTTGGGTGGGGTGGGGCTATGCCTGTTTGTACCCCCTTCCATCCTTCCCTGTCTTAGACCCAGACACTGCAGCTTTTGAACTTAAAAGCCTGGAATTTGGCATCTTGGTTCTCTGGCTAGAAAGTAGCATAGTCTCAGGGCCAAAAAGCAAGAGCTAGTACCCCATAGCACAATCTGAGGCCCTCACGGACCACGCTTTTTTCTTCCTTTTCACAGAGCCTGAGCCACCTGACATTCTGTGTCAGTGCACATGGACGAGGGAAGTGGCTGCTCCTAGGAGGAGGAGGGAGCTAAGAGCACCTTATCTTAGATCTGCTGAGTCCCCACACCCCACACATACTCTCTGCTCACTCACCTCCCCCAGACAGCTGGGAAGTGACACCTCTGGTGACAGCGCCCGTCCCCAGGCTTCTGCTGGGAGGAGGTGGGGTGCTGCCTGGGGGAGGTTATCACACCCAGAGGCCCTGGGAAGCCTGGGTGGAGGAGGGAAGAAGCTGGCTCCTGTTTGTCTCAGAGACCAAGGCCACGAGCCTCCCCTCCTCCCCTTCCAGGGATGCAGTGAGCACCCCCACTAGGCCTCCTCTAGACGCCTCCTTCTCCACTCTTGAGGCTTGCCTTGACCCACCCCACCTGATAGGCAGCTCACCTGGTCCCATTTTCTCCTCCCCTCCGTGCCAGGTCGGCTGAGAATGAGCGAGGTGGGTGTGTGCAGCTGCTGGGTCTGTTTCAAGGACCTAAAGAGAGACCAGTCAGGGCTGGAAAGGGCCATGGATAATCTCCTCCTACCATGTTCCAGATCAAGCCATTTAGCAAATATATATTTAGTGCCTACATATGTAATATATTTTGGGTCCAGAGACAAGACAGGAACTGTCCAAGGTCACACCTATGAGGCTAATATGCGTGTAAAGTAGTACCATGTAACCTGGGCACTGCAGATGCCCCCTTGCCTACTGTCCTCGTTCTCCCTAAAGGGAAAAAAAAAAAGCCCTGTCCTTTCCGCCCAGGCCCTGCATCTGGGATCAAAAACTGAGCCCTCCTCCTGCCGCGGGGGTAGGTGACCCAGCTCTGGGCCAGAGCTGTTTTGGCCAGTCTGCAGCCACCACGTGAAGCAGTCCCACGGGGCAGCCTCGTGCCCTCCTCCCTGGGGTCCTAAACTTGCCCAGCCTCAGTGGGTCCTGGCCTGCAGTACCCCTGGTCTGAACTCCAGTTGTGAGGAGGGACAGCTTTCACATCTTTCACACACTGCAGTGACTTGGTTGGGGCGAGGCTGGGGGCGGAGGCGGGGGGTAGCTGCCTCATCTCCTTTTCATACCCCTCTCTTCGGCAGCCAGGGGCCCCAGACCTCCCTTGAGACCTCCGCCTGCAGGGTGATGGGTTGGGGACCTACTCCCACCACTCCATTCCACCTCGACAGCAGGGTCCCAGCTATCCACATTGCCCCGCGGACCTGATTTCCCACCCCCGTTCCAAGTGCTTGAAGGCGGGTCACCAGGCACTGGGACCTGGGTGCAGGCCGAGACCTTGGGCGGTGTGGGGTGCGGACTGATGAGGGAGGACGTGGTTTGGGGGTGGGGGGCCCTAGGGGCAGAGGCGCGGGGACGGCTGTGAGGTCTTTGGTCAGCCAGGGCGGGTTGGCGGCGGATGTGGGGAAGCCGCGGCAGTCAGCCTTGGGGCTCGCGGGGCGGGGGAAGGTGCGGGGGGCACCGCAGCTCCATGCACGCAGCCCCGCCGGGCGCTACCCCCGCCCCGCAGCGCCCCGCCCC